GGAAAAGCAGGGTGTTAGAAAAGATGCCAACCATAGGTGATGTTCCTATTAATAAAATGTTCATATGTTAGTCAGATATGGCCAAGTAGATGAGGTTTCCAAATTGTTAGTGGGTTTGCAAAGTTGGCGGTCCTTCACAGATTTCATGGGGGTGCTTGGGGCTTTTGTGCCAGGAAAAAGGAAGTTGTCTGTTCTTAAAGCTGCATTTCCTCGCTTTATACACCCAGGAGTGAGGCTCACAGGAATGCCACTGACCTGCTGCTGCCCCAGGGCTGTGACTTCACTAAATGGTGTTATGTGCCCTTTATTCTCAGAACGTGCTTTTTCTAAGCTCAGAGAAGATTTCACAGACTCCACCTCATGACCCTATACAGCCCCTCCAAAATCATGGGAGGAATAGTGTCTGTACAGCTCTTTGAATGATTTGAGATGCAGATAACAGAATGGGAGGAACTAGATAAACTTGGTAGTCCATTTTGTAGCAGGTTAACCGATGAACAAAATTTGATTTTTATACAGACATGAAAACAGCTAATTATAAATTTTGCTTGTTGTAATGATATTGATAAAGAAATTTATTTTCTCCTTACCCTTAAAAAAGAGCCATTCTGACATGGTATATCCATATTTAAACCATTTAAGGGCAAATGCTCATTTGAAACAGAAGTATTAGAGCTAGATTATATGAAGGAAATTATATTGAGGAACGTTATCATAGCAGCATTTCTGTGAGCAAGATTACTTATAAAAATAATGAACATGTTTTCTGAATATAATATTTGAAGTAATTTTTAAAAATCTGGCTATTAACCATAAGGTTAATTGATTCTTTTCTTCTTGCTCTTTTGTGGTTAGCATACTCATTCTTCTTTTTAAAGACCCATTTTGTTATGCAAATGAAAAAAATTGTTAGACTTTGTGTCTAAGAGAGAGGGCTGCTTTCTGCAGGGGAGCCAGGCCCCTGTCTCAGCACTCAGCCCCCACCTCTGCTCCCACTGACTGCCAAGCTAGAGACTTGGTGATCTGGGTTAGTGGGTGTGGGGTCCTTGAATGTTGACTCACATTCTCTTTGTGACTTGCTCTTGCTTTGCCTGATAATGTCTCCCTTTCCAGCTCTCAGCATGCCAGCAGCAGCTGCATCATGGCACTCACCCTGCTGCCAAGAGGGCAGGCAGGCTCCAGTGGAGACTGTAACAGTGCACTCCAGCCAACTGTTGGAGGTGGGTGCCGGGCAGTGCATGCAGCACAGCTGAGAGCCAGGCCCTTCCAGGAGGCTCCGGGGGCAGCACTTTGTCCATGGAATTGTTCAAGTTTAATTTTTGGAAACTTTTTGATGGAAGGTTTTCAAACATAAACAAAGGCAGAAAAGAATAAGACAGTGTCTCCCTGTATGCCTTCCTTTTCTACGTTTCAACAACAACCAGTCATAGACGGTTTTATTTCACTGTCCATGGTGTTACCCTCCCAGAAAACTGGTAGATTCATTTCCAGGGAGAAAGCTCTATTAAATTACAGTTGCTTTTCTATCCTTCAGTCTAAGATCTGTCATCTTAATGAGTTTCTGTCCTTTCTTCCAAAAGGTAAAATATATTAGTCTTTTTTTCCCCTTCTCATTTATGCCAAGGTATGCTACATAAGAATGGTTATATTCTCTAATGCTGTCCCTAAAGTCTCACGGCTTTGTTCATTCAGTAGGCCGACCTCTCCAGAACATAGATATGCAGGTAACATGTTTAGAGCATTATAGGTCACTGGGTTTGATTCTCAGTCTTACCATAGACAAACTGTGTAACCTGGAACAACTTCCTTGACCTTTCTGTGCCCTAGTGTCCTCTTGTTTTTAACATGGGACTAATAGTGCACATCCCAAAAAGCTATAAAACTGAAATGAGTGAATACATTTGAACAGCCTAGATGGATCCCCACACAAAGTAAATGTTCAATATATGCCAGTGGCTGTCATCAACATGTTTTGTCCCTCACCACTCACTTTACAGAATAGACTGAGGCCCAGCCCAGGTGGATGGAGTGACTCCCTCTGGTCATACGGCTTTTTTGTCAAGGAGAACTGGAACAGGAAATCACATCTCAATCCCCCTATTCTAGATTCTGGAGGCCTAGTGCATGGATTCAGTTGGGTCCCTCAGCCTGGCCTGCGCCCTTGCAATCTGGGATCCCCTTGAGGGATGTCGGAGAGCTGATTTCGACCTGATCCCCACAGGCCAGGCCAAGGGACCCTATGGATTCGTGCACCAGGCCTCTAGTATGCATATAAGATCTTTGGTTAATCTGCTCCCGCCCTCTTCTTCCCCCCTTCCCTCAGATTCATCAGTCTGTTCCATGTTTCCATGCCTATAGTTTCTGCTACTGCATTGAGTATCTGACCCCATCAATGCGTGTCATAGCTACCGGCCGGTCATCAGGTCAGCTATTTGCTTAGGCATTACTAGAGGCCCGATGCATGAAATTCATGCACGGGAGGTGTGGGTCCCTCAGCCCAGCCTGCACCCTCTCCAATCTGGAACTCCTTGAGGGATGTCTGACTGCCCATTTAGGCTGGATCCCACCGGGCAGTGCGACATCCCTCACAATCCAGGACTGCTGGCTCCCAACAGCTTGCCTGCCTGCCTGCCTGCCTGATTGCCCCTAACTGCTTCTGACTGCCAGCCTGATCACCTACTAACCACTCCCCTGCCAGCCTGATTGCTCCTAATTGCCCCTAACTGCCCTCCCCTGCAGGCTTGATTGACCACAACTGTCCTCCCCTGCTGGCCATCTTATGGTGTCCATCTTGGGTCCACATGGGGGCAGCCATCTTGTGTCTTGGAGTGAACCACTGAGCCATTCGGGCTGGACCTGACCATACCCTTTTAAAAAGCACCAAGAGGACTATCTCTACCAGACCTTTCCCGACCCCTCCCCCATTCCAACTTGCATTATACCCCCTGCCTATTAGCAGCTACACTTGGATGTCTGGTACGACCTGGAATGACCAAAACAGAACTCTTGGTCTTCCTGCTTAGGCCAAACACTCTGACTCCAGTCTGCTCTCATATCCCACATCCTTTTCACCCATAAACCCTGTTGGCCTTATCCTCGAAGTCTATCCAAAATCCAACGTTCATCTCGCCTTGATTTTCACAACCCTAATCCACACTGCAGTCGTCTCTTAGCCAGCTGCTGCTTCCTGGCCGCCAGACCCCACTACCTACTGTCAATACGGCAACCAAAGTGATCGTTTTAAGTCATCAGTCTGAATGTATCTCCTTTGTGATGATAACTTCTTTTTATCCCATGCAACAACATGGATGAATCTCCTATATAAAAGTCAGAAACAAGAGTTTATACTATAGGATTACCTTCATTTAAATATAAAAATAGGTAAACCAATCTATACTGTTAGAAGACAGGGTAGTGACAGAAAGCACTGAGGGCTTTTGGGGGGGCATGTCATTTCTGTCCCTTGATCTGGGTGTTGTAAACTTCTAATGTACCCTTTCTGTATGTACTTTACACTTCCATAAAAATTTTTCAAAATTATTTCATAAACAGAAAATCATTCTTCTCTAGATTTAGAGATAAGGAATTTATCAGTATTTTAACCATCATAATGTAAACCCCATGCAGGCAAAATCTTGTCTGCTTTCATCCAACCAATAAATACTTACTGAGCACCAGGCACTGGCCTGGGCATTTTGGGATACAGCAGGGAACATGAGAGACAAAAGCCCCTTAAATTCCCGAGGATTATAATGCGGATGAAGTATATAACAGAGAACAAGGTGCTAAGGGCTGTGTAGAGTAAAAGAGCAGGGGAGAGAGATAAGGAGAGAGAGGAGTGCAGGAGCGGAAGGGAGGAGGGGGCAGGACACAGTGTGAATAAGATGGTCAGGAAAGCCTTGTTGAGAAGGTGGCATTTGGATCGATACTTGGAAGGAGGTGAGAGAAGGGGCCCAATGTGTATTTGGCAGCAGAACCTCCTGGGTAGCGGGACTGGAAAGCACAGGCCTGAGGCAGAAGCAGGCTGGGCGCTCAGGAGCAACAGCAAGGAGGCAGTGAGGCGCTGGGGGCCAGGTCGCCAGGGCCTCCTGGGCCTCAGTAAAGACTCCAGGGTTTTATTTGTGTGAGACCAGGTGGTGGTGGGAGAGTAAATTTTTGCCTAAACTGGTTTTATTTCGGTTTCAGCCACTTTTAGTGGCAGGTGGTTTATTCTCATTGCTGTAAGTATACTTCAATTTATCCATTGTACTATCGATGGACACTTAGTTTCCACTTTGGACACCCTACTGCACGTCTTTTGGTAAACTACTACTGTACGCGTGGTTTACCAGTTCTCTGTATCTGCATAACTTACGTAACATGTTAGTTCCTATGAAAGTCAGACAATCAGTCAATAAGCATGACACACATTAGAAGTAAACTCTCATGTAGGTATTAGGATAAGATAATCAAGTATGCAAGGCAGAGAATACAAAGACATGTCAACTAGATTGTTGCCCTCAAGGACCCTCGAATCTAACTGGGGATAAGACATATGCATGTGAAACAGTAACTGGCAAGGACACATATATAGGAAATGCGAAATAATATCCTAGGCCAGTGGTCGGCAAACTGCGGCTCACCACTGTCCTAGGCAGTTTGCTCCATAATTATTCTTAAGTGAGCAAGGTCATTTTGGACTGTGTTGCTATAAGGTTTCACAGGGAATCTGGAAATTCTAAAGAGCCTGAAAGAATACACCGGGTTTGGCAAAGCATACAGACTTTGTAGACATTACTGGGCTAGAGAAATAACAGGAGGGGGTCATAGGTGGTAAGAGTAGGGTATAGGATTCATTTTAAAGCCTGGTAGAGTTCTAAGTACAAGTAAAGCAAATAAGCTACATTGTGATTTGGGAATACTTTCATATTCCCCCATTTCTCTATCATTTTGCCACATTTACCATTACTGAACCTCAAAGGCCATAGCTCTTAATGATTTGAATATATGTGTATTTTTAGACTGACCAAGAAAACTCACCCATTGGGACTGTAGCAGGCCCCGGGGCGGAAACTAAGGCAGGCCAGCTTCTGGAGAACAGCTCGTTCATGGCAGAGCTTCTGAGCGACGTGCCCTTCACCTTGGCCCCGCATGTGCTGGCTGTGCAGGGCACCATCAGTGACCTTCCAGACCACCTCCTCACCTGTGACGTCAGCGAAAACTTATCACGGTTTTGGTACGATTTTACTCTCGAAAATTCAGTGCTCTGTGATTCGTAAGTTTTTATATTTGTACCGCAACTGCTTTAAAACAAAAGTTTGCCACTGTATTTAACCTGTTTGATGTTCTTTGCCATTTCACTGTCTAAAAGCCCTCAGGATCATAAAAGCAAGGATCATAAAGTACAGTATGTTCATTGCTCGGTCTTTTAGAATAAAGTACATTTGTATAAAAATTGAGCTTAAGTACTACTTCCTTTCTGCCAAATAATAAATATAAAAATTAGGTAATCATAGTTTTAGGAAAGGAATAGGTTCCTTCAAACAGGCTCTCAAAATACAACACCTCAAGTTGATCTTAGCAGAACTGTGAAAAAGAGTGATGGCATTTTCCTTGCTTACCACAAGTCTGAAATCTGCCCTGAGAGGGAGTGAGAATTCCCTTCTCTGGTTTAGAGGAAGCTTGAATTAATATTATTCCCTTTCTTCTCCCACAGTGTCTATGAATGAGTTCAGAAAAAAAAAAAAAAAAATTTGTGCCAGTTAGCTTAATTTCTTCATTCTTGATATAGACACTGATGTGGAAAAGGAAAACTTTTCCTAAAAAGCAGGAGGATTTTGCTGATATAAGAGTGCCCTTGCTGCTATTTCCCTGAGTGATACATTCAGTTTCCTTATGCCCCTGGCAGTCCTGTGCACCTGGAGTGCTCCCCGTGTTCCTGCCTTTGTTTCTGCGGAGTGTGCTCCCTCACCAGCTTCCCCAAGAACTCTCCCTGCTTCTGCCTCAGAAGGCATCCGTGCTCCTGACCACATAGGGTTCAGGAAGAGATCCACATTTCCTTTCAACCTCTCTGCTCCCAAAGAAAAACATCTCGTGATGATACATATTATCGCTAACACCCTTAGCAATTTGTTGGCCATAATACGAATAGAAATGCTTTACTGCTAGAAAAACTGAAATCAACTCATTTCCAGTTAGAGTATAGGCAAAACACCTAAATGTCACTTTTAGCTATTGAATATCCATCATTTATTCCAACTAAAACAGAAAAGAACTGCCATTGGTCAATAAACTGCAAAGGAAGAGGTAAACTGTGACAGTGTTTTCTATGCCATGTAAAATTTTAATCACATTAGTTCTGAAAGAGTACAATATAATTTATTAATTCTGTGCCAAATTTTTAGAATATTTTTCACAAAGATAGAGTGCTATAGCAAAACTGAACACTGTGCATAAAGGTATATAAATTATTCAAATTTTAATGTGTTGTGCATGTATAATAAATGTGGCATGTTCTTGATAAAAATACTGTTATTTACAAAATAAAGGAACCTTTCTATTGGAAAAAATGTGTCATTTACAAATAATGTTACCATATGAGTTAAATGGTTAAATTAGATCTTGACAGTTTTCTTAAAAAGAAATATTACTAACACAGATATGAACATTTTATAGCAGTTTTTGTGAAAGCCCATCCTTTTAAATATCCATGTTAATATTATCTTAAAGCTAAATGTAAGCATGTCATCAATTTACTAATATATAAATTAAATTTTGTCTCAAATACTTAATACATTTTATTTATATTGATATTTATGTCTATCGTGTTATAAATATGCTTATACATATTTTCACTTGTTAAAAATGTTATATTTGAACAAGTATGAATAAAAATAAACTGATATTTTTATTAATTTTGGATCCAAAACTGATTTTCTTTGCATTATTCATGTCTGAAAGCCATTGATTGTTTAGGAGACAAATATTTAAGTAAATAGTATGTATCGATATATGGTAGAGAAAAATATCAAGTTTCTTCTTACATGTAAGTCTTAAGGAATAACATTGAAAATGGTAAGATCACTCACTAATTCTGGCAGGACTGAGGGATTTGAGAGAAATCACATGAACATCCCCAGATAGATTCCATCACAAGATTTAATAAGCTCAGTGTTAATAACGGATTAACATAAACATGTGGAAATGGCCATTTTAATGTTCTCATCCTGTATACAAATCATGTTCCTATTTTAAAACTAGAAGAAAACAGAAGTCATCCAGCCAACTCTATCTAACCCAAGAGAAACTTGAAGCATAGAAAGGTTAAAAATGACTTAACTCAACTCGTTACTGATACACATTTACTTGAAGAGTATTAATAAAGGTAGTATAATTGTAAGAGAGCTATATGCTGTAGTGGGGAAGGGCCCAGGCATTTGAGGCAGGCAGGTTGTAGTGGCTCCCTCACCTACAAGCTGTGGGCCTTTGAGTCAGTCCCCTAATTTCTGGTGTCCTGGGTTCCCTTGCCTGTTAAATAGTAATTGTATGCACCTTGCGGGGTTGGGCTTTTAGATGGTGCCATGTCAAAGGCCAGGCAGTGCAAAGCTATACACATTGTCAGTGTTCAAGGAAAGGAAACTGTTATAATTCTCATTACTAATCACACATATACCAAGGTCTAATGAAATATACAATATGAATTAACTGAACTTTCTAAAGAGTAATACAAAAAATAGCTACCTACATTTACTGTATATCCCCCCCAAACCCATTATTATTTTCCATATTAAGCACTACCTCATGAAAGATATTCCTAAAATATTTTAGTTGACTCTTCTGCAGTTCTTTGCTAAGAGTTCCATAGGAACACTTTTTTTTCCTCCTATTATCAAGCAGTATGGATTTTACTCCCTCTCCCCCCTTAACAAATGATCATTATAAAGTACTGTACATATGAAATGTACAAGTGATCTTACCGAATCCTATTTTTATCCCTAAAATATATGCAGGAAGTTGCATGTATTTTCCCTCCAGCTTTTTTAAAAATGGCATTTGTATCCTTTCCTGAAAACACAATTGGAGAGGCAATTCTGACAATTTATTATTCTAGCTAAATTGTTATTAACTCAACTTTTAAAATAATAACATTAAATGTTAATATAAGCACGTTTATTGTTAACAAGGAACCCACTCATTTATTAAAAATATTCATTGACCAACACTTTCTTCACCTTTCTCAAAGTAAAATGATAAATTGAAAACAGTATGAAAAAAAATCTAAAATCCTGAGAAACCTAGTTTTTCATAATTATAAGGGAAAAATAGGGAGAAGAAATAGTCTCATCCTTATTCTAAAACAGTGGCCCATCAGCCCTTATCCCTTTACCTCTCCTGACAACAATTGATCAGTAAATGAATATTGCCCTCTGTAATATAGCAAAGAATGTGCTACCTTCGGAGATTAATGCATTGTCCTATTAATCATGCCATTAATAACATTCACAAGAAATTTTAGTGTATTGGATAGATTGCTGAAGGATTAATATCTTTTAAAGCTATTGAAAGCTATTTAAAGCTGTGGACATTATCTTTTGAGCACTGTGTCATATTACTAAGGCCATGACCTACAATAAATATTATTGGGCAATCTAAAACTCTCGGAATTGGTCTGACTCCATTCATATACAGGGTCCTGAAAGGTAAAGTATTTCTATGCGTCAGGAAAATGACTCTTGATGCCACATGGTTTGGTGGATAGGTGTGGGTGAACAAGAAAGATGTATTGATTGAAGCATAGGATCTGTTAAATTTGATATCTCAGTGTTAATCATTTTTTAATTTAAATAAAATAGTAATTTTAGAATAATTTTATATTATAGAAAAATTACAAAAATAGTGAAACATTCTTGAGTACCTCTCATCTAGTTTCTCCTATTTGCTACAACTAAGGAAACAACACTGGGACATTACTATTAACTAAAATCCACCCTCCATTCCAATTTCCCATTTTTCTCCTAATGTCCTTTTTTTCTTCCAGCATCCTATCTGGTATAATACATCATACTTAGTCATTTTTAGGCTCCTTTTGGCTTTATAATCTCAGACTTTTATTTATGTATTATTATTTTTAGTGACTGACAGTTCATGGAGTCTTGTCAGATTTTGTAGGATGTCCCTCAACTCTGATTTATTTAATGTTGTTCACATGGTTAGATTATGGTTATGCATTTTGGGGCAAATATTACAAAGGTGAACTGCTTTTCAATGAGATCGTATCATATCAAAGGTACATGCTGTCAACATGACCTCATTGTTGATGCTAACTGTATCAAGTGGCCAAGGTAGTGTTTGCCAGGTCTCTCCACTGTCATGTAACTCTGTCCCTCCCCTTTTCAATACACTACTCTTTGTTATTCAATTGAAAAGCATAGCCCACAGTCAAGGGGTAGGGAATTATACTCCTCATCCTTGAGGGGCTAGTAGACATATAAATTATTTGAATTTTTTTCTGTATGAGATGTCTCTTTTCTCCAATTTAATTATTCATTTATTTATATTGGGATTCTAAATCTAAAGCATATCTCTCGGTGGCCAAGAAATATGTTTACATTATTAGAAAGTTAACAAAGGAAATTTGGAATGATTTACATAGTGCAGATGAATACCATTTGATGTTGGATATAATATATTCTATAATTTCCTCAGAATTAATCTTCCTATAAATATCAGGTACATTTCTTTATAACTTGTCATGACTATAACTATATTCAAAATAGACCTTCCCTTTGAGGCCACAAGTGTTGCACTGTAAGTGAAGCCCTCTTAGATACTTGGCCTTTTTCTACCTTATTCCCACAATGATTGCATTTTACCCATAATGCTATTCTTCAAGTGGTGAAGAGGCAAGGTTCTAATATAATCATTTTCTTCTTTAAAGAACCAAGATTACTCATGATACACAGAGCTTTTCTCTACAGATGACTTTCTTTAGTAATAGCAAAAACCAAGTTGCAGCTCCTTAAGATTCTAAGAGGAGAAATGGTTCATTTTCTCCTTTAAGAAGTAGTTTTAAGAAGCAGCATTAGGAAACTAAGTCTTCTTTCAGAGGGCAGAAGTGGCCCCAAGGAACTCTTTGTACTTTTGATTAACCAAAACTCAACTGTATGCTAAACCAAACTTGATGTCATCCCATTTCACTGGGGGCCGGGGAAACAAAGTAAATAGTGTTTTACTTTATCCTTGGAAGAAGCCTGAATATAGTTCTTTGTTGAGAATTTCCCCAGTCCAATTTTCACTCCTACAAAGGAAATAAATTCCTTACAATCAAAGGTAAGGCAAAGGATAATTGCATCCAGAACAACCCATCAGTAGGCTAACTCCAAACCAGCCTATAGACAGCTTGTTAGCTACGACCCAGGCCAGAGAGGGAAACAGACAATAGACCGTTTCAGAGGTCAGTTAAGGAGACGACTTCCCACTTGGGACTGCTGCCAGGGACGTAGAATCCAGTGTCTGACATCTGGGGTTGCAGCTGTGAAGTCTGCCCCTTGTGTGGCCACAGGTGTTGACTATAACTCAGAAATATAGGCGGAGGAACAGGATAATGTCGGTTTCAGTGTGCATATGTGTATTTATGTGTGTGGTTTTTCTTTTCTGTTGTTCAAAAATGTACAGAATTTATTGTTTCAGAATTAATGTATTTCTTCATAATGGCAAGGAACATTTGGAAGGCTAACAAAAAAGGAGCTCTTGTTCATGAACAAGGGCAAAACAAAGCCAAGTTTTTACACCTACAGGGTACACTGCACACCAACATGCTGTGTGGCATTGTTAGCTCACTCATTTGAATAGGCCTTCTCAGGACCAAAAAGAAATAAATTGATGCTGAACAGCAAACAGGCAGTTGGTTTCAGATAAAACCTAAATACTCATTCTCTGTACATCTCTCTGACCTTATTCTTGTTTTGGATCTTTACGAGAACTTGTTTTTATCAGAATGTATTTCTGAGCATGGGACAGACTATCCAGTTTTCTATCTCACACTATACCAGCCAGACCATCAGCTAACACAGCAGAAAGCAGAAACACTCAGCTTTTCTCTTCCTCTTGCAAGCAACTTAGCTCCTGTTTATGAGGCAGATCTAGAAGTTCCTACTTCACATACATACTGGAGGTCCCTGACCCTAAAGATATGGGCAGCAGTAGAAATATGAATAAGAGGACGGAATGATATGGGTAAGATCGATAAAGAGCCAAAAGTAAATTGCATTTTTAAAATATGTTTATACGTCCATAATTAAATATAGACTCCTTCCTTGTTGTGCCCACTTCACAGCCTGAATTTAGATTTCCTTTTTTTTTTATCGAATCTCTAAGGAAAAATGCTTGAATCCTTAGGCCAATGTTCCTCCACCTTGTAAAGCCCATTTGCCCGCCATGTTTTTTTCACTAGATGCTCTCTCTATTCCTCCAGCCAAGAAGTCTGTTGACAGGTTTTCCTTTGTATCTTCGGTTACAAAGACAAAAGGTAAACTGAATATGCATTTTCAAAGTATAGCTATC